CAGTAAGCAGACTGCCTTCTACCCATACTTTCCAGGCATAATATTCTAGTTTTAACAGATATTCCAAAATTAATTACTTGTTTTTAATCATAGCAGGGAGCTGATTTTATTAACCTCTAAACGAACTCAGACAATGCAGCCAGAAGCCTTGAATACTTCAGATTGCCTTGTTTGTTTGCAAAGCAAGCATCTGCACTCTGCTTCTCTGTCAGCAAAGATTTCAGAAATAAATTATTTTATGGTAAATGCAAGGAACAGTATATGTGTACATCAGATGACTGAATGTGACAAGATTTTAGTGAGCAACAATGATAGTTCACTCAAGGAGAATTGCTCAAGGAAATTACACACAGAAGGACCAGCAGTTATTTTCAGAAGGTAAAAACTATTGCTAGCAAGAAAAAAATAGATACAAACTTTGGTTTTGTTATGGCAAAATAAAATAACTTAGAAAGGAGTTGTCCCTTTTTTCAGAATGTAAAAATATTTAAATGGTTCAGAACATATTGTACATGATTTAGAAAAGCAGATCTAAATAAAAAGATGTATTTAGAAAAAAATTAATTTAAGTAAAAATTTAGTTCATTTAAACAGAAATGAAAAAGAAAAAATATATACTGGGCTGTCAAAAAGACACCTGGACTACATAGAATATTTTCTTGTGCTATTAGCATTCAAGATGGATGGAAGGAGAAACATTAGTTTTCAAAGGCATTTGGGAAAATCAATCTGTAAAAAAGTAACATCCCCCACCTCCAACACATATTTTGAAAATACTGTTTCTTCTTCAGCATTTGGGTTGCAGGAATTTGTCAATTTAAGTGGCCAGCAAGGTGAGGGTTAATAGGAAAGAACATCACTGTTCCCTCCATCTGAGTAAAAATGGATAACCATAGCCTAATACTACCTTAGGATATAACTCTGGTTACATCTCAATTTATAGAAATAATTAGATCAAATTAGATCATGGAAAGTTTAATTAACCAGGCATAGTTTTGAATTAAAGTCCATTTTCTATGGAAATTGGAAAAGGCCTAAGTAATTCAGTACTCATTATATCATGATTTAGCATCAAGCATCATGGGAGCCATAGTTAAGAGTATATGAAAAGAAGCAAAGAGGATGTTGACTCTCCTAGATTTTGGACAGTATTAGGATGTCTTGCCTCCTAGGAAAAAAAAAAACAACAGATTTTGAATGTTCAAGAGAGTTTAGCAGGCTAGCAGGCTAGCTTTAAACAAGAAAAAAGTTCATTTGGACCATTAACTAGACTAAAAATTTCATGTCATTGTTCTTTGACATGACTCCACCATAAAAAATGTTAAATGTAATTCTTGCTTTTATATATTTTTGAAATATGCACATAATCTACTACTAATGTGAAAGGGTCCATTATGAAATATTTCCCCCAGTGCAACAGTGTCTAATTATACTTAATTCTATTAACATTCATTATGACAAATTAATTTGTATTAATGTGGATGTAATCACATGATTTCATCAGAATTTGGAACTAATTAGTTTCCACCTATTATAAAGAGTTATTTATTACACAAAGAACCTCCTTTGCTTTTGAGGTACTCTTGAACATAACTTACCACCCTATGTATTATAGAATCTGTAAACTAGCAAAACTATTGTCTGTAATACACTTTCTGATCCAGCACTACCTCCATTATGCAAATTCCAGTACTCTGTGAGGCTCTGAGCTCCCTTACTACTGAGTCTGAGTAGACTTTTCACAGGGGAACCATTCAATATTAGTAACAAGGGTCAAATTAATTTTTTTATCTTGTCCAAAATCGTTTTTGTTCCTCCAGAACACCTGGAGATGTTATATATATATATATTTTAAATCTCTAGGTGTGGTGTTTCCATCAAAGATTTTTCATTTATCTACATATGTTTAGAAGAACTGATTTTAATGGAAACATATACATTAGAGATATTAAGGATGAGGTTTTGTAATGTGTTTATGAAAACATGTTGAAAGGGATGAGGGACAGACTTTACCACTTTGGCTTTTGTTCAGCAGTGCTCTAGGAATCAAAGAGTTTCACTGAAATCAATAGCACCTATTACAGATGAAGGCACAGCTCACCATGAGTAAGGGTCTGGCTACTAGGAAAGTAATATTGAGATTGCTTTCATTTTAATGACTGAGAAACTCTAAAACATCCATCCATGCTTTTGGGTGAAATGAGTAATGCCCACTAAAGTTACAAGATTTATGAGGGATGTCCAATTCAATTTTATTAGGAAAAAAAAATTAAAAATTGGTTCCCTCCCTTTAAAATGAAAACCATATGCAAGGAACAGCGTTTTTCTAAATTGATGCAGATACTAAGAAAAAAAAAAATCTTTAAATAAGAATTGTCATTTATTATTTTTCCATCTTATTTATAGAATTAGTTAGCAGAATCTGCTTTCATTATACTTGTTAGGGATTGTTTTGATAAAGTTCTAGTCAGTATTTAATTAATGAAACAGCTTTTTTGATCCTTCAGGCACACAAGTGACAGATAATTGTGCTAAAAATGCTCTAACTCAACTCCCATATCAGCCTTGGATATTCTCTGTATCTAGAAAGAGATGACAGCTCCTTTCCAAGGACAAATCTTGGTGCTCAGCTAATACCTGAGATAACATAAAGCTCTATTGTGTAATTGCTGGATCCGCCATGATATGACATTGTTCTCATAGCTTCAGGTATGCGAAGTGTGAAAAGTCCTTCCCAAATTTCGAACTGTTTTAAAATTAATTTAAAGCTGTATGTTCCCATCTCTACCCTAAACTGAGCAATCTGATGTGTAGTCAACCCAAAATGCACATCTACAGTTGAGTTAAAAATGTGGCTCCTTCCTACCTAGGGTATTGAAGTTTGAATGCACAATTCAGGTGGCGCATTCAAGCAACTGAAAAAGCTTATATCTATCAGCCATATAATGGATAATACATATGCTAGATCTATACCACAAGTAGTGGTAAAAATATTTAACTAATAAATTATTCAATAAGGCTTTTATCCACCTTTTCCTACTTAAAAATTAAAAATAAAACAGGCACAATGATCTGTTTTGTTAAAATGATGCTTTCTTCATAACAAAAAATTCTGAACAATTTTTCTGGTTGCATATTCCCAAAGCTCACAGAAGAGTGGAATAATTTTCTACAACACATATTTTTTTTTCCATCATAGGAGATTGTGTTTACAATGATCTAATAATATTCTCCCAAATTTCAATGATAAATCTGCCTTTAATGTAAAAACTGAACATACATTAACATTAATCCTGACTAAGATAAATTTTTTAAGTGCTTTTGCCATATTTAAATTTCCACTTCTGTTTAGAATAAATGCATCTTGGAATTTTTATTCCAGTGTCTGCTATTTTTTGAATACATACATTTCTGGTCTTTACCGCTCCAACAAATTGTCCCCCAATAAATGGATTGATGAGTTTAACCCAATACCACTTTCATTTTTGTCATTCACTTCTTAGTCACTTATCAAAATAGTCTGAAGATCATACCAGCCAAATCATCAAGACAAAGAGATTTTCCCCAATGTGATTTGAAGCTAACTCCAAACTGTCAAGATAGGCACTTATCTTAAATTTGAAGAAGTGTCCTTCATATTTGCCTGGCAATATCACCTGAAGGAAATATTTTGTAAAATTTGTTGACAAAAAGATATTCTGGAATATCTTGAAAGAACAATTCAGTACAAGGACACAAATTTTTGGATAAGTTTGAATAGAAGATTTTAACAAAGGTTTCCATACTCTGTTGTCTAAAATCAATAGATCTTTGTAGTTCAAATAGAGGCCCAGTGCAAGGCCATGTTTTAGAATGGCATTTATCAGCTTTTATGAACTACCTGGTAGGTTGTGTATGGGCTTAAATCCCTGAGCCATTCTCAGGACTTTTCAGCACATTTGCATTTTTGATCTCAATGGATACAGCTGCAGTTATGACTGCAGACACACATCTTAGCAGAAGGGTCTCACTAAATCCCATAGTGGCAAAAAGAAGTATGTGCATGGTCCCTTGGAAATGGTTTAAACTGATCCTGAATAATACAAAATTCATTGATTTGTACCAAAATTTTGCATCTACCTAATTCTGCACAGATTATGATATGCACTAAAAGTTAGAAATGATCTAAAAACTTTTTGTTCATTGAATCAAACACTTTTTATTTATATGGCATATATGACATAAGGCAAATCTCCATGGCTTAATTTCACAGAATTTAAATGCATTAATTGTAACCCACAGAAAACAAAATGTAATTCTTCCATCCTAGACTTGACTCTTAAAATTGAAGCATTAATTTCAGAAACATGTAAGGGATCTAGGAAGAGAATTTCTATTACAGTTCAGTGGGATTTTTGTCCATAACCTCTTTAATCTTTGACTGAGATTTTAAATGAGGCTAAGCTCAGAATGAAAGGTATCTTTTGCATACCTGAACAGGTCAAGACCTCTGCTGGAATGGAAGTTGAGCTCCCTTGTATGTCAGACTTAGACATGTCTGTATAGAAGTAGTCAAAATACGTGCGAGATGCTAAACTGCAACATAGCACTCAGTTAAAAAAACTACAACAACAATTCTTTATATACTGAAAAACAGAAGCAATTTCACTGTAAGTGTTTGGGGACATTTTAAACATCAGTTTAAATAATTTATAGGTTTCAATCTACCTCCATGAATACAATAAGACCTAAGTAATTGTAATTTTTATTTTATTTTCCTATTATTTTATAATTAAAATAAAGGTACTAGAAAAACTCAAAGCTGAATTTTGAAATTCAGGAAACTACTTCACACAGTGATTGCCCTCTAATTTTATGTTCAGTGCCATTAAGGGTGGATTAGACAGAGCTGCCAGTCTGAGCTGTTTTAAACAAATGGAAAATCATTAACAGTGATCTTTTGAATCTTTGTGCACAGGGCAGAAACTGCTGGAAGGAAACGAGACCAGAAGAGGACCTGTAGAGATCTGGGTAAGCAGACCCTGCTAGATTAATGACTGGCATTGTCAGAACTGAGTGATGGGGAGCTGCAGCGGCTTCATAGGCTCACCCCTACCTAGTGGGTGTTGCCATGGGTACCAGCTCAGAGGTGTCACATTAAAAAAAAAGGGGGGAAAGGGAGAGACAGATGAACAGCAAAAGGGAATAAAGAATACACACACCATAACAATATAAAGAGACATTCTATGTACACAACAAAAATGGGGTATGTTATGATATAGTAGAATGTGAAAAAAAGAAGGAAAAACCAAGAATGGTTGAATTCTCAATAAAATCCTCTGGATAGCATGACCTAATTTATATATGTATGATTGCACATGTTTATTTATTGTTTAAAGTCCAGGCAATGATAGAAAAGACTCTTATTAATCACACATTGTCTGACAACAGAAAAGAGTTATTTGCGACATGCAATCACTATTCATAAATTTATTGTTATTTAGGGCCATGTGCAGTCTATAAAAAATAAACTTAATAAATTATTGTCATTTAAAATCACAATTAGGTCTCAATTCAGCAAGTGACATCAACATCCCTTACCATCCCCAGCATGAGCAGTCGTCCTTTAAATTAGACAGACTGCTTAAACACTTGGTGATTTGTGTCTTATCAAAAGTAATCTTCTGAGGTAGCACAGAAGCTGTTTTTAATAACCTAGCCAGGGGGTGAATACCAACCATGAGACATGAAACACCTTTGGCTAAAAGGAATGGTCACAAGATGCAGAAGAAAAAGAAAAAAACAGCAAAAACCCCCACACAAATAAACAACCCCTCACTCGAAGCACTTTGTGCAAGTGTTTCCCAAAGGGCAGATAATATTTTTGTCACTTTACTGTTTACTTTTTTGGCATGTTTTTCAGTCAGATAGATATACGTGAAGTCTTTATTCCTTCAGATCTGTTGAAAGTTTGCATAACCTCTATGTTCAATGAAATAATTGTGGTGTTTTTTGTATCAGGAAGTTTCACTATGTGACAAAACCTCATGTACAGCTGCTGAGAAATAAACAGATATCAATGAATACATTAAGTACAAAATATATTAATCCTATGATTATTAAGTTTCATAATTCAATTGATATAAATTTGTGTGAATTCTGTTTTGACTAACTTCTGTGGCACTAAAATTTAATTAACCAAAATAAAAGGAACACAGAAAAGATTTGGTGTGATGGGAAATAAGGGAGTTTAGTCCTGATTTCTAGTGAGTTAGCTTATCTGTTTCTCATGTATAACAATTTTGGCAATGGTATAGGAAAAGCACGTTGATTTAAAGTAATATTTGCTTTATATATTTTATATATTTTATTTATATCTATTTCTTAAGTATGTTTACATTTAACTGAATAGATTATGTGCTATATTACACTTTTCAGAACACAGTGTGTCTTTTAACTATCTGACCCTCTAAACAATCTTTCAGTTAAACCTTGTGAAAAGAGGGGAATGGAAGTCAGAAAAAAATTATGTGGTAAGTAAGGAAGCATGTAAGTGATACAGTTGTGTATTGCTGGCTGCTTCCCTTTTCTTTTGGAAATATTCCAGTGAATGAGTTTTCAGATAACCAAGTATTTACATTAAAAGTTACGCTACACTACTAAGTATAAATGCATTTTAGCCCAATTTTGTAATTGTCTTGGGTGGGAAGTTTCTCATTTTGTTGGGGACACTAAATGTTTATCTGGAATTTCCCCAGGAGGGAATTCCCATATATTTATAAAAAAAAGTATAACCCACAGAAGCAATGCCACTGCTTATCATATGATAAGTAATGTTATCAAACCAGAAAGATTCAAGAGAAATTACTTGGCACAAAGGGTGTCCCAAAATTCATTTTCAGTATACTGACTTAAATTTTGAGCAAATTGATGATGGTTGAATCTTACTATTATTTGATTGTTCTTGAATGATATCTCTGGAATAGTTTGCTGTCCTTTAGCTTCTAGTAAGTGTAATAGAAATCCATTTATCTCTTGTCTTCAAAATTAAACTCTTGACTACAGTGAAATCAAATACAATATTCATTAACACTAATCCAGTCTTCTGTCTGAAGGAGTATTTCTTATTAGACAAACACCAAAGTATATCAAAACAACTTTATGTGAACATCAATAAATTCTACTGTGCAGACTTATATGGAAATTATTCTTGTGATGTCTGTATTATTGTATTTTACAAATCAAAATGTGACTTCTGTCTTGAGGGCTTTCAAATTTACTTTTCATGAAAATTAAAATCCCATTCTCAAAAAGAAGCATACACACTGCACAGAAACAAGTAATGAATATAATGATATGAACAAAGGGGGAAAAGGAAAGATTTTAGCACCCAAAGAAACCTACATATTTGAAGAAGAAACTTGACCTTTTAGTTGTCTATTCGTTTTTCAATAAAATTTAATTGAAATAACTAAAAGTCTAATTTAAACTAATTCACAAGCTACTATTACCTATTGTGGAGTATGCTAAGCTATATTCTATTCAGAAATGCCTAGACACTTTAGTGTCTACTGTGAGTGATTATTCAGCAAGTAGAGATGACAGCTTTATGTGACAGAATATTTACCTCTAGTAGTCACAAGACCAAACAAAATTGTTTCCAAAGAATATTTTTTTAAATATAGATTACAAGGCCCCAGATAATAATCTATTATTCACAAATGGGGCCATTTCTATCCTAAATCTTTTGTCACATAATCAAAACATTTTCAATTTTTTTTTTTTTTTAAAGAGAGACATTTGCTCATGCTTGAGCAAAATCACTTTGCTAAACAGCCCAAATTAGTCCTTCTCTGAAAAACAATCTACACCTTTAGGATCACATGGTATTTTCAACAATCACAGTAAAATGAGGATGATAACAGACAAATCCCTCCGGCTACTGCATCTTCTCCTTCTCCTCCCTCCTAAACACAGAGACCATATGATGGAACACACAGAACCACAAATTACTGTAGTGCACGGCTCCTACTTAATAATGACATCCCATAAGTTAGCAAAAATCTGCCAACATCTGCAAGCTTCTCTGCAGTGTTGTGAGCCAAAGTTAAAAATCATGTGTGACAGTGCTGTGGAAAATACAATTGATTCCATTCTGATTGTGTCAGTTCCAAACACAGACAATATTGATGATGCTGTACAGTAATCTTATTGGACTTGGGCCCAACTGAACATTGGTCTTTGTCAACTCATTATTCCTCTATCAGAGGGATCTCACTAGATTGATCTTGCCAGAAGCTCTTGATGTGTCTCACAAATCACTGTTCTGCTGTTGGCAGGCAGATTCGAGTACTGCACAGTAATTGCTGGATTTTTTTCCTTTCCCCAGAAGGCAGTGACTACATACTGCAAGTCATTGTCATATGAGAGAATATAACTGTCCTAACAAGATAATGTAGTTAACTGTGCAGTATCTGTGCCAAAAAGATGTGGTCATATTATATATGTTACTAAAGGAGCAAAATTATTTCAAAGCTAAACTTTTTTTTTATTCATACTTACCATACCTTAAATAAATAGCCCAGGTTTTTACATTTTTAGTGTGAAAAATTGTTTGGATAAATTGTATTATTTTAAACTGCAGTGCAAATGTGGGAAGATCTTAATTGGCCTCTTGCCATTTACATATATAGAAACAAGCCACACGAGTTTTTGCACAATCAATACTGCGCTGCAAAATTCAGACACAGACATTTGAGTATCTGACAAGAAGTGATTACGTCTTGGAAACTTCTTTTATGCTTTTAGCCAGAGGAAATAAACTTGTTGGCTCCTAAAGTCTTCACTTGTCCCTCAGAAAGATCCAAGAAGATTAAGGTGAGTCCGTGGCCTGGGTAAATGCTTTCCTTAAGATACCATCAACATATCCTCTGGCTAGTCTTAGAAGAACACAATGACAAAACCAAATTTAAACACTTGATGCCCTGAGTCAGATAACCTGGGTAATTGCAAGAGGCTGGACTGGAGTTTCTCCAGGAAGGTTTAGGCCTTGTGTTGGCTGAAGGAGCCACTGGCAGCAGCTTCGTTCCCACAGTGCAAATGGGGAGAGCAGCCCTTGAACAGCTAAACTGAATTATCCAGCTCTGGCTTCTTGCTCTCTTTCTGGATAACTGCTTTTTTGGGAAGGTGCAGGGGCTGAGAAATAGATATGATTATAACAATAGATTATGGCTGAGAAGGACTGTGATTCCTGATTAGTGGAATGGTTACTCTATTTAATAAAGAAGGTTTGAACAACTTGTACCTTACATTACTTTATCCAATACAAGGAAATTGAGCAAGGCCATTAGAAATGGGTGTTGGTAAAATCCTTAAAAGATCAGATAAAATCTAATTTTTAAGTAATCCAAAGAACTCATCCCCTACTAAAATACTCAATCACTGTCACATGGGTATGTAAAGGTCAAGACAGAGGCAGAAATTATGCAGGTGATGAAGCTATGGGAATTAAAAAAGGATGCAAAGCCACAATGATTGTTTTTATATGACAGAGCCAAAGCTACTTGTATAAATAATAGAGAAATGTTTAAGAAAATAAAATATTAAATTATTCTACCTATAGGCAGCATAATATTATACTAAATTACTAAAGACCAAAATACAAGGTTCAAGGAAGAAAAAAAGAACAGTGTAAGTTCAAGGCCTATGTTTTCCCCAGCTAGATGAAGGCAAATAAATTGAAAAGCTGCTGACAATTTATGCCATAAAGTTTCAAACCAGTAGACCAGTTCTTTTAAGAATGTACCTTTAATTTTTCAAATAAACTGCCTATAAATACAAAATTTTATCCTAATTTTCCTTGGAGGCTTTGTGATTTGCCTCATGATTTTTTATTTAAAATAGAAAGAAACTATCAAAGCACTCTTAAAAATAAAATTTATACAAAGCTAAAAGCTATAAAATAAAATAAATCAAAACATTTCAAAATCAAATAAAGTCTCTGAATTAAAGAAGAGATCCTGTGACATCCAGGGACTGACTCCAGGACTATGAGTGGGTGACTTCTGACAGAAATTAGCACACAGTTATCCACATACCCAGAATAAGCATTATGTGCAAACTTTATGCTGAATCTTTTTCCCCTGACCTGTGTTTTGGCTGGTGTGTTGATGCAAGAAATTCTAAATATAGTAGAGCCAGCAACAGGAAGATTCCAAACATAAATCAGAATATATGTAATTAACATTTTAGATATTGAAAATATTGCCATTTTTAGCTTTAGATAATCTTCAGATTACAGACTAGGCTTTTGTGATAAATTATTCTGTAATGTGCTAGAATGTACAAAGTGACTCAGAGTCCCCAGGCAGGTGCAAAGGTGAGCTGCTTTATTGCAAAAACCAGGCCTTTTTAAGCAGTTAGCCCATTATCAATTACATTCCATTTAAGTATAACAAATATAATTCAACCAGCCACCATACACCACAATATGAGCATGCAATGGTTATATAACTTATTTTTCTACCTCAAATTCAGCTGAGTCACTTTCCCATTGTCGTTTTCTGCTTAGCCAAAGTAGCAGGCCTGAGCCATGATTTTACAAGGGTAACAAGGCCTTTATTTTATATGGCTTTACCTATGTGTAACACTAGAAAATTTAAGACCCTCAGAGTAGAACTGGTGTCGCCCAAAGTCCTCTGCATGTCATCTCTTGGAGCTGGCCAACAGGAAAAATCTAGGACCCTGATGCTCCTGAAATTGCCATGCTCTATGAGTATGCCTTTTTCAGCCTGGATGGAAAGACACATTCCATCTGCTTGGAATGCTTGGATCTTTTTCAAGTCTCTTCCACACTTTTTAAATAGAGATGGATCATCAGCTAGATAAAGAGGAAATGGTATTTTCTTTTAATACCATGATCAAACAATTTTATTTCTGAGACTTAAATTTCTTACTAAAGCAACTTTACTTAATTCTAATTGTGGTAATATTGAGTTTACTTAAATGCCTAATAGAACTTTAAGTGGAATATAACAAAAATATTTGACACACCCTTTCATTTATCATTCATAGCTGGTTCCACTGCAAGTTTATGGATTAGTGCAAGTTGAAGACTTCCTATTAATAATTGATCTGATCTGTTGTCTGGAATACGTCAAGAGTTAGTGGGCCTTGGAAATAAAGAAAGCAAAAAGGTGACCTACCAAGGACTTTTAGCTTCTTTCTTTGAGGGTGCTCACACATATTCCAGATTCTGTGCACTGGGCTGCTTATACATTTTACATTATGCACATCTTTATCAAAAACTTCCTTGTTCATTATAATGCACTGAGTATCAAACTGCCAGTGCCAATACCCACTGTAGAAGCAGAAAAGCTCTAAGTTGTCCAACATCAAGAGGACATGGCTTTCTCAGAGGCTGGGTTGTCTTCTCTGCTTTTTATTGTGATATCATTCTGGTACAGAAACAGTGTAAGGAAATAAAGACTCAGTCTGTTAATATTTACAATGTCCCCATGGTAAACATTTTATA